GGGGGGTTATAGGATCTTAGGGGTTATGGGGGTTTGGGGTTATGGGGGTTATAGGATCTTAGGGGTTATGGGGGTCATAGGGGTTAAGGATCATGGGGGTTTGGGGATATGGGGGTTATATGGTCTTATGGGTTTGGGGTCATGGGGGGTTATAGGATCTTAGGGGTTATGGGGGTTTGGGGTTATGGGGGTTATAGGATCTTAGGGGTTATGGGGGTCATAGGGGTTAGGGGTTATGGGGGTTATATGGTCTTATGGGTTTGGGGTCATGAGGGTTATAGAATCTTAGGGGTCATGGGAGTTTGGGGTTATGGGGGTTATAGGATCTTAGGGGTTATGGGGGTTATATGGTCTTATGGGTTTGGGGTTATGGGGGTTCGGGGTCTTGGGGTCTTTAGGGTCAGGGTGTTGGGGTCTTGTGGGTCTTGGGGAGGCGGTCCCTGATGCTGATCCCCCCCCCCCCGCAGCCTTTCTCCAACGGGCTGGTCACCGTCATGGTGCCCCAGCTGAGGCGGGAGAACAGCCTGCTGCTGTGGAACACGCTGGAGCTCAACAGCCCCGTGCACGCCTTCGTGGGCCACGACGACGTGGTCCTGGAGTTCCAGTGGAGGCCCCAGAAGGAGGGTGGGCTGCTCTTCATCATCATCATCACACCGCCAGAGGGGTCGGCTGGTTAGCTGATTAGCTGGTTAGCTGGTTAGCTGGTCAGCTGGTTAACCAGCCAGCTGGTCAGGTGGTTAGCTGATTAGCTTGTCGGCTGGTCAGCTTGTTGGCTGCTTAGCTGGTCAGCTGGTTAACCTATCGGCCGGTCAGCTGATTAGCTGGTTGGATGGTTAGCTGGTCGGATGGTCAGCTGGTCAGATGGTTGGCTGGTTAGTTGGTTAGCTTGTTAACTGGCGTACCAGACGGTGACCCAGGCAGTCCTGTGGGTCTTCATTGGGTTTTGGTGGTTTGTGTTTAGGCTCCAAGGACTTCCAGCTGGTGACCTGGTCCAGAGACCAGACTCTGAGGATCTGGAGGGTGGATCCCCAGCTGCAGAAGGTGGGAGCTGGTCCTCAGGGTCCAGGTCCAGATCCTGGGATCTGCTGGTTCTGATGGGGTCTGGGTGTCCCTGCAGCTGTGTGTCAACGAGCTGGTGGAGGACCTGATGGAGGGACTGGCCCTCAACGTGGACTCAGAGAAGACCCTTTTGGCCCAGGAGCCTGAGGGCCTGCAGGGGGGGGGAGCAGCTAGCCTGCAAGGTGAGTCAGGGCCGGACCTGGTACCTGGGTAGACCTGGGCCAGGTATCAATAGAAACCAGGTCCCTGAGCTGGACCTGGTCCCAGCTGTGGTTCCTCCCCAGACCCGGACGGCCCCCTGAACTCTGGGGGGCGCCAGGATTCGAGTTCAGGTCTGGCGCAGACCCTGCAGCAGGAGTTCTCCCTGGTCAACCTGCAGATCCGCAACGTCAACGTGGAGGTGAGGCGGGGGTCCGATTGGGGAGAGGGGGCGGGGCTTAGGGGAAGGCGGTCAGGGTAAGGGGGCGTAGCCTAAGGGTGTAGCGGGGGCACCTGGGGGCGACGCTCCAGGAGGGACCAATGGGCAGCGGGGCCTCAGGCCGGGTATCCGATAGGGTCAGGGGGTGGGGTTCCGATAGGGACAGGGGGGCCTCAATGGAGGGCGGTTGGGGAAAGGGGGCAGGAGGAAGAGGAGGAGGAAGAGGGGAGAAGGAGGTGGAAGAGTTAGAGGTGGAGGAGCAGGAGGAGAGGTGGTGGGGACAAGGAGGGGGAGGTAGGGGCAGAGTTCTGATAGGGGCAGGGGGCAAGGCCTCTGGGAGGCCTACAGGGTTTGGGGGCGTGGCCTGGTCTGACCCGCCCTCTTTGTGTGCAGATGGATGCGATGAACCGCAGCTGCGTGGTCTCCGCCCACTTCGGCAGCCATCAGGTCCACCTGGTGGTCAAGTTCCCGGCCCAGTACCCCAACAACGCCGCGCCCAGCTTCCAGTTCGTCCCCCCCACCACCATCCCCTCCGCCACCAGGACCAAGATCCAGAAGGTAGGCCCCGCCCACTGAAATCAAGAGCCAGAAGGTAGGGCCTGCCCACTAAGACCAAGGATCAGAAAGTAGTCTCCACCTACTGAGACCAAGATCTAGAAGGTAGGCCCTGCCCCCATCAGTCCCACGCCCCGCCCACTGACTGGCCCCACCCACTGAGACCAAGATCATGAAGGTAGGCCACGCCCACTAAGACCAAGGTCCAGGAGGGAGGCCCCGCCCACCAGGTCCAGAAGGTAGGCCCTGCCCCCACCACTCCCAGGCCCCGGCAATGTCAAGAAGGTAGGCCCCGCCAACTAAAACATAGGTCCAGAAGGTAGGCCCCGCCCACTGGCTGGCCCCGCTCACTAAGACCAAGATCCAGGAGGAAGGCCCCGCCCACTCCCAGTATCTGGCCCCGCCCACTGACCCCGCCCCTCCTCTCAGGTCCTGAGGGACACGTCCCTCCAGAAGGTGAAGAGGAACCAGAACTGCCTGGAGCCCTGCGTCCGCCAACTGGTGTCCTGCCTGGAGTCCGACATGGTGAGAACCCCTAACTCCTTACCCCCTAACTCCTCCCCCCTAACTCCTCCCCTTAACTCCTCCCCCCTAACTCCTTACCCTAACCCTGTGTTGCTTTCAGACGCAGGAGGACAGCCCGTCGTCTGGCCCCTACATCCTGTCCACTCCTGCCTTTCCTCGGGTCACCAACACCTATGGGTCCTACCAGGTAAGAAAGGGGGAGGAGGAGGGGGAGGGAAGAGGGGGAGGAGAAGGGAGGAGGAGGTGGAGAAGTAAGAGGTGGAGGAGCAGGAGGAGAGGGGGGAGGAGAAGGAGCCACTGGCTCCCCCCCCCCCCGCCCCCCCCCCCCCCAGCCGGTTCTCCTTCCAGGATGCCAACATCCCATTCCCCCGGACGTCCGGCGCTCGGTTCTGCGGGACCAGCTGTCTGGTGTACTTCACTCGGCCAATCACCATGCACCGCTCGGCCCCGCCCACTGAGCCCACACCCAGGTAGGCCTCACCCAATCAGAAGCTGGCTCTGTTGGGTCTGCTTCTACCACTGCCTGCAGTCCTGGTCGAGACCCTGTTCTGACCTGGTCCTGACCCGGCCCCGGTCCCGGTCCTGGCCCTGGTCCTGGTCCCGCCCCCTCCAGGTCCCTGTCGGCCCTGTCGGCCTATCACAGCTCGGTCCTGACGCCCCTGAAGATGCGTTCAGAGTCCCAGAACACGCTGCGGCTGTACAGCAGCAGCCCCACCCGCTCAGACAAGGACACCGTGTCCATCTCCTCCTTCTACTACAAGGAGAGGGTGAGCCCAGACACACAACAGACACACAACCAGAAACATGACCAGACACAACCAGAGACACAGACAAACAACCAGAGATACAACCAGAGACACAACCAGACACAATCAGAGACAGACACACAACCAGAGACTCAGACACACAACCAGAGACACAAACAGAGATACAACCAGACACAAAACCAGAGACACAGACACACAACCAGAGACACAAACAGAGATACAACCAGACACAAAACCAGAGACACAGACACACAACCAGAGACAGACAAACAACCAGAGACACAGACACACAACCAGACAGACACAACCAGAGACATTGACACACAACCAGAGACACAACCAGAGATACAACCAGACACACAACCAGAGACAAAGACACACGACAACCAGAGACACAACCAGAGAAATAACCAGACACACAACCAGGGACACACACACACAACCAGACACAGACACACAACCAGAGACAGACAAACAACCAGAGACACAGACACACAACCAGACAGACACAACCAGAGACATTGACACACAACCAGAGACACAACCAGAGATACAACCAGACACACAACCAGAGACAAAGACACACGACAACCAGAGACACAACCAGAGATACAACCAGACACACAACCAGGGACACACACACACAACCAGAGACACAGACACACAACCAGAGACACAACCAGAGGAACCCCTTTCGAGGTCAGGTGTGTGTGGGCGGGGCTTCCTCCTCCGGTAACCGCGGTAACGCTCACAGGTGAGGGCAGCTGGGTCAGGTGTGCTCTGTCCC